AAATTTCCCGTCATTGGTCAAAGAACTCGAGATTGCCAGGGGACGACTACAACAGCGCAGATATGAGCGAGCGTCTGTTTTCCAGCCTCGAATCAGTTCTCAGCCTGCCCGCCTCCCAGGCTTCACGGCTCGGTGCCCTCACTTGTGCGGGGATATGCCACGACACTGAGCAGATGCACATCAAGCTGCTTTACCGGTACCCGCAAGCCCCTGACGCAGTAAATCCCAGCCGTCCGCCCCGAGTCCGCCACCTTGCCGAGATCCTCGGAATTTTCCAGGGATCCTCGGTTAACTCCACCCTTGGTCTCTACATCAGTATTGACGAGCGACTTCGTCTCGCGCGCGACCTTGCCGCTGCAGTCTTCGAATTCCATAAGATCCAGTGGTGGCACAAGAACATCTCCTCTTACAACGTCCTCCTCTTCTTCTACGACGACACCGCCCTTCCCTCTCTCTCCTCCTCGGTCCGCAGAGCAACTGACCCCCCATTTAGCAAGCTCGTTCTGGGAAAACCATATATGATTGGGTTCTCGCACAGCCGGCCCGAGAACGCGGGATACTCGAACAAGATGCATGCCCAGCCTGCTGTCTTTCCGTACCGCCACCCTGACTACGCGGGTGCCGACGCTGTGGATGACCGGACATCCCCGGGATTCCTCGCTGAATACGACTATTACAGTTTGGGTCTCGTGTTGTTGGAGATTGGCATGTGGGAACGGCTGGGACGGTTCTTTGTGCAGGATTACACCCTCTCTCGAGATAAGATGAGGAGTCAAATTGTTGATGACTTGGTTCCTGTGTTGGAGGGAACGCTTGGGTCGTTGTATTCCTCAGCAGTGAGGGCTTGTTTGTCTGGTGAGCTGAGTGGCAACGGGGAAGATGCCGATCCTGCTTCTGTTGACGAGATGTTTGAGCGCATGGTTTTGAGGCCGCTGGAGACGTTGCTGCGGCGGTTCGATGGCGTTTGATGGAAGTCTATGCTTCAACCTCCGAGAGGTAGACGTAAGCAGGGTGGGCAATAAGTCAAGTAATTACTTACTTGACGGTTAAGTTAAGTAAGTAAGTCAAGTCAAGTAAAGCCTAATATTGGTCAAGCCAAAGCAAGTCTTTTTATTGGCTTGACTTGATGACTTGCCAAGTATCGGTGTTTTTGAAGCCCCGTAAAAAGCCGTGATACCGGGTGCCCCTGAGCCTCGGTAAGGAGTACCGGAAGTTCCGGAAGTAAAGGTCCGGCTCCACCATATGTGTTAAGATCGGACCGGAAAACCTCCTTCGGGCTTGACAAGTATTACTTACAAGTCAAGTTTAATATGGCTTCAAGTAAGTAAAAAGTAAGTATGGGCAAGTCAAGCCAAGTTTGACCCTATACTTGATTTGACTTGCCTTGTTGCCCACCCTGGACGTAAGGAAGGAGGTGAAATGTATTTGTTTGTATGGGAATTTGTTGAGTTTGCCTAGGTACCTAGGTACTTTTCAATGGCGAAGGGACGGTGAATCCTAGACGGTCTGGCGTGCTTGGGTAATAATTAATACACCTATCTACCGGGTATCTTAGCCTCGTTACGCAAGCTTGTTGTATCTTCCCCAAACTCTAACAGTACCCTAAATAGTGAAAATGCTTCTTTGCCCCTGACCTACCCCTGACCCCTTATCCTTGAACCTCTGTGTCTTTTCCCTTCCCCGTCCGAGACCGTCTTACTCACATCCCTATCCTCATCCCTCACCCCCTTCACCCTCATCCCCACCTCTTGTTCCTCCCCCCTCCGCATCAACCACTGCTGCACATCCATCCCCAAAACTACCTCATACCCTTCCAAAAGCCCCCCGCACACCGTAAAATCAAAACTATCCCGAAGCTCCACCATCCCAGGGATCACGAATTCCATCGCAATAGTCCCATACACCTCTGTCCGTCCATTCTTTCCATAGGAGGTGTACAGCGTCCTACTAATCTCACTAACAGGCGGTTCCCAACCCAACTTCATTGCTGTGTCAGCAGAGATGATGTTCACGTTGCCAGCCGGGTGGAGGTGTGCATCCTGGGGCCAGTATGCTTTGGTGTGGCTGCCAATGTGACCAGAGATAGGCTTGTTGGCGCGGTGGCGAGAGGCGAGGATTCGGGTGTGGGGGGAATCCAGTTCGAATTGTAGCCTTGTCGGGGTGGAGCCTGAGGAGCAGGGTACGGTTTTCGGTTTCTCTTCTGCTGCTATTGTTTTGGGTTTCTCCTCTACTGATGGTGGCGTGGGATTCTCTTCCACTGCTTTTATCTTGTACTTCCCATGCATTGTGGTTATCTTGTTCTTCTGTTCCACTGGCAGTAACGTGCTGGATTTCACGTTCATTCGAGGAGCCAGGTCATTGTTAACGCTGGAGCTGTAGTCCTTCCGCCGTCGCGTTACTGAGTCTGGCCTGGCAAAAGCGACGTATTTGAGGGGATGACATACTTCTTTACTCGCTGAGATTGGTGAAGATCTGCTGCGGGATGGTGAAGAGTTCAGCCGAGGTGGCACTTGTCTCCAAGGGGATATCTCCCCAGGGCCGGTTGAGCTTGGAGTTGTTGGCTCCGACGAGGGTAGCATTGCTGGCTCTGAGGAAAGTAGTGTCGATGGCTGCGATGAGGGTGGCGATATCTCTCCGTATCGGTAACGATATTGATCACGAGTAGAGTGTCGCCGCCGTCGTGACCGGCGGCGAAGATTGAGGTCCGGTTGCTTGGGAATCTTGTAGTCTCGTGGCGGAGGGGACGCGGGTACTACACCCGTTTTGATCATTGAATCTGCGAGATATGCCAGGACCGAGTTCTGGTCAACTGTCCCGCTTTTTCGTTCAATACTGATGTGGCGTTGATATTGGAGGTCATAGAGCATATCGACAAACCGAGCCATATCATGTTTTATTTCTTTGCTATCATCGCTCAGCTTCCTTGCTATGTAACTCCCTTGGAAGAGATGGGTAGGTGATACATACATTTCTGCCATGATGAACGTCATCTCCCCTGTTGGAGATTTTTGTTCCTTAGACTGTCTTGTATAGAGCGACTCAAGCTTCAAGGTACTCTGGGCCAATACCAGGTCCGACTTGAGTGTTTCCATGAATGGTAAAAGAGCAGTGAAGTCCGGTTTGAGTCGATGCCATTTGTAATTGACCCACAACTGCCAACTACTTGGGAGTTCCGCGGTCCTCTCAAAAAGATCCGCCATCTTGCGTCGTATTTCTCGAGCGAGACGTTCGATGTCACGCAGTAAATTGTTTTTCCTCAAGTACTTCATCGCGGGCGTACAAGAGGACTCTTCGTCTGACCAGCGCGCCTCAAGGGAGATTTGCGCAGATTGAACAGCGGTGAAACATGTCTTCAACATGAGGCGGTAGCTTCTGATCTCCTCCACGGCTCCCGGGGCCTCTCGGCCTATTTTAACCATCAGCTTCACAAGTTTCCAAACAGTCGAACAAGTCTTAGCCAAAGAGTTGGCGGCGACCACCAGCCCTACAACTTCGGCCATAATGCTAGAAAAAGTAAGCAGACGCTGGGATGCGCTTCTGTGTGCTGTTTAATGCAAGAGAAGCAGTGATATGTACCATGGGTGGCTATATAGAATGCTAATATCTCAGTAGATAGGTAGCAAAAAAACCAAGCGAATTCGCCGCGATATATGTCTGGTGTGCGAACTGCGGGGTCGCATGGACAAGGCAAACAAGGCACCCACCAAGGCAGTATTCAGAATTCTTTCCGCGCTTAGGGGGCCATTGTTTCGCAGCATAGACGCGGGATAGATGACTCGACGAATGAAACCTCGAGGCGGTACACCCTCACCAGATAGATAGTAATGATAAAGAAAAATCTAGGTAATTTTGCTAATGAAACTCAACCTCTATTCTATGAAATAGTCAACCTCTATTCTATAAAGCCCTTGCAAATCTTTGCCCTTCAAACGCCTGTCCACCCTTCTTGTCTATAACCTGGCGATATCTAGAAGGCTTCACAAGCCAGAATACCAATGTTAAGTCGGTCAACATACTCCTCATCCTTGTAAAGCAACGCCTTTGCCCGTTTGACGCAGCCACGCACTCCATTCCTAGAGAACATCGGCGTATTGTTGAATGGGTGCCAGCGGTTGGCCCCAACTGCATCATTCCACTCTCCATCTCCAGACCCTCCCTCATCCTGATCAAATACCTCCACGTAGCGACAGCCATCACCATAATACACTCTTGGCTCCTCGCTTTTAGTCTCTTTTTGGCGTTACTTCTCGGTTGGGACGCGGTTTCTTCTTTGAAGGCGGTAGTCGATGAACCATAGATGGGTTGGCCCAGCCTCCAAGTTGTCGACTGATGGGACCAGCAATAGGTCCACAAACGCGCTAATCTCCCCCCAGTGAAGTGACATCGAGTCCCAGGCAGGATCGTACTTCACAGTAATGTGTCGTTCTTCCCTTCCCGTTACATTCTTCATTACTGGCCAGAAAGTGCACGATAGTAGCTTTAACTGGCGGTAAGTGGGCAAATCCCAATCGAGAGACCCCTGCTGCACCGTCCATCGAAAGGGGTGAAAAGCCGAGACTCGAGGATGATAAGATTTTGGGCGGGGAAGAGGGCGATTTGGCGTTTTGTAGAGGGTTCTGGGTTAAGAGGTGAGGGCCCATCACTCGACTCGTTCCAGAACAAGATTGGGCGATCGTCTCGCTACAGCAGTTTTCGTTCCATGATTGTCCTTGATTCTCTGTACGCTATCCACAGTCCGCTATCGGCAAAGTAGGTTAACGAGTTGTTATTTGCCCATTGTTTTGTCACTAGAGTCTAAGCATAACGCGGCTGGTAAATAGAGGGATGACCTTTATATTCTTTAGAATTATCGGAGATGCTGCTGGTGCCGTCGGAGATGGTGAAAGTGTGGGCTCCAGGTACGACTGGCCCGATGGCAAATTCCCAGATTATGTGCCGGAGTTTATAGGGTAGCTAAGGGAAACGAGGAAATTTTTCAGTTATTATTGTAAGGTAAGGTAGACTGAATGATATTGGTGCTCTAAGATTGGGTATATAAAAAAAAAAAAAATTTAAAAAAAAAGAAATGTAAGTAAAGGACAGATGTCTATTTATAGCACCCATATAAAAATTTGTTCTTTAGACCCACTTGCCCCTGGCGAGGATTCGTGGCTCAAATGGGCTCGAAGCTTGTTTCCACAACGGCTCGTCCGCCAAGATTGATGGCCACTCAACAAAGTAAATGAGAGCAAAAAGAGCGTGTCGAAAACTCTGAATCAGCCACAACCTCCCTTACTTTAACGACAATAATGCCACAACTATAGATATCCCAAACCCTAAAACTTATACTCCCAAACAACATCCTCCCACCCCTCCCTCCTCTTAACCTTCGCCCCAAAACCCACCCCATAATCCTTCGGCTTAGTAGTAGTATCAATAATACTCGCTGTCCCCCTCTCCGGCCCCCTCCACTCCCCACTCCTATCTAAACTCCCTACCTTAAACCCAATAAGCAAAATCGTTATCATAGCTATTATCTCCGCCAAAGCAAAGTGCCTACCCGGGCAGAGATATAACCCGCCCCTAAACGGCTAGTGAGCCACTTTAATCGTTCTCTCCTCCTCCTTAGTTAAACCCAGGAACCGATTAGGCTTAAACTCTAGATAACTCTCCCCCAATAGTCCTCCAGAAAGTAAAACGCCCCGATAGACATTTAGATTACGGTTCCCTTTTAGAGGAAATAAGTCTGTCCTATCTTTAGGAAGGTAATAGTCGTGTCTTATATTACTATCCGGATAGTGATTTAGTGGACGATAAAATAAAGGGTTTCCCTATAGTAGCTCTAAAGGAGTAGTGTCTTTTATTTTAGTATAGGTAAAGAAATAACTAGTTTTACTTTAGTACTAAACCTGGTTAGTAAATTTTCTTCGATCTCTTTCCTCAGTTAGGCGGCGACGGCCGGGCGGGTAAAGACGTAGCTAAAGAACTAGAAGAGGTCGGGACTATATTAGTCATTACCGCTAGGGGGAGTAGGACTTTAATCTTAGCGATATCCTCCACCGGAAGCCCCGCGTTTCGCATCTCGCGTACACGAAGACGGATAAAATCAGAGGCAGAAGGGTCTTATTCTGCCTGAGAGGAGTAGTAAGGAGTCAGGGCTTAGACTAGCTTATTACGGCCGAGATAGGCTTTTTTCGCGATAAATAAGGGCAGGATATCTATCATTAGTGCCATAATAGACTCGTTATACTCCTAAAACGATTATACTAAGCTCGGGTCTTTCGAGAAAGTGTCTTAATATTTGCCGTACAAAGGGGGCGTTATTACTTTGGCGATAATCTTTTTAATCTAAAGCCAGATACTTAGAATTATTTACTGTTGGTTAGATCTTAATAAGGATATTAATTGTTAAGATACTTCGTTCAAGGTAGCGTCGATGAACTTTTACTACAGCTCTCCTAAAAAGCTGGTCGGGATAGTATATAGTATAATACGGTCTTTAAGCTCATCCCCCTCTTCTCGCCTCATGAGGTCGGCAGTGCTTTTGGTAACTTGCATTAGCGGCGCGACGGCCTCTCTGACCTGGGGTTTCGTGGAGAGGTGCTTGTTCTTAAGACCGGCCAAGATCAAAGAGGGGTCGAAGATTGCGTATAGCTTTCCATTAAGCATGGGCAATGTTACGATCGGCTGCTTGGATTTGCAATGTAGAATTCGGTGGTAGTCTGCTTGGTGTCGGATTAAGCCGATAATGTATCCAATGAATGGGATGGTGGGCTTCAGAAGAGGAGGCTCGCGTGGGTCTGCCCTCTTTGGTGTCGCAAGCGTGTTGATGACGATGGCGAGGATAACTGCAGCTACCGCCGCCGCGGCGAGGGGGAAGCTAGTTGGTAACCAGTCAAGGCCTTCTCGAAGCGCCATCATCGTTGACTGAGTTCGGGGATAACCAAGGCGAGAACTTCGAAGGCTTGAGAGTTTGGTCGGGACAGTGGTTTGTTAATCGTAGCATCCCCGGGAAGCTGTTGGTTCAGGTTGACATTTTCCCCCGCCAAGCACCAACAGCAGTCCGATGAAGACGATATGATTGGACCATGACGCTCCCTCCGATCCAAGCGAGATTTTGATGCTTGCCAGAATAAAGTTGGGAGTTTAGGGCTGACTTTAACGCTTGAACTTACATATTACCAATGGATATTTTCCCGCATCAACACTCACCTCAGGGCACTGTCGGTGAAGCCAAGGTGAGCGGGAAGGGCGATGATGCCCCTGGATGACAAAAACACGTGCCACGACCACGCATTTGATCTGCCCCTCTTCCTCCCCCACCCAACCCGGTTCTCGGATTGGAAGGTGGTGTAGCTCTCCCCTGGCAGGGCTCCATAAGAGGTAACAATTGCAACGTTTGGTGATCGGCGTGGGCAGCAATGAATTCGCTGCCGGCCTGCACGTGGGTGCAACAACTGGGAGGTGTTAATGGCATCACGGACTAGAATGAAGCCCGGAGACGATCACTCCTAAGTTTGTCGACATTTCACCATCCAGTCGACGCAGGACGGGTTACATGTGCTCGTGCATATACGGTACATAGAATTACCCGGCCAATGAACTAGACTTCTGAGAGTGCGTGTTCCTGACAATGACGTACGAGCCCGCGATAGCTACCAGTCTTCTAGAAAACCTATAGCTGCTTAAAAGAGACTTAGCCTGCCCGCTGTAAAAACGAGATGGAGTTTGGCATTACTCTTTCCAAGACGAGAAAACTAGAGGTCAATCGGTCATCGTGTTCATCATGAAAGCCGTCATCCTCTCCGCCCTCGCGGCAGCATCAGCCGCTGTTGAGCTCTCAACAAACCTCAACTACCACAGTCCCTCTACCCGTCACTCCAACCTCGGAATTGACCTTCCTACCGTCCAGCGCCGCACCCTCAAACGTGACTCCGTCCCTTACTCTCCCGAAGACCTCAACTTCACGCACGGCATAGCCTCTGGCGACCCCTACCCAACGAGCGTCATCCTCTGGACTCGCGTCGCTCCCTCACTAGCGTCCGACCTCGGAAACATTACAGTTAAAGGCAACGTCCCTCTCTATTCTCACGAGACAGAGCGATATATTAAAGCCGATCCCAATCCCATCTGCGTTGATTGGGCTGTTTGGCCTGCCACATCGTCCAACACCACCAAGTGGAAGCGTCAAGTGAATGAGACAGTGGTTGCCAGTGGTAGGGCGTATACTACAAGCGATATCGACTACACGATCAAGGTCGAGGCTGAAGGGCTGAGTCCGTTTACTGAGTATAACTACCAGTTCACTATCTGTGGGTCGGATAAGAAGAGCGGGATTGGGAAGACAAAGACGACGCCTGATAAGAATGATGATGTTAGCGAGGTTAAGTTGGCGGTGTTTAGTTGTAGCAACTTTCGTGAGTGATGATTCTTTGGCTTTGTTTATGTTGAGCTAGGAGTGAAAGAAGATGAAAAAGGGCTAATCACCATTGATAGCAAACGGATACTTCAACGCGTATGGGAATGCTGCGAGAAAGGGAGGATTGGACTACGTGGTTAGTATCGGGGTAGCATTCGAAGCGAAAAGAAACATAGGTACTGACGAGTGCCAGATCCATCTTGGAGATTACCTCTACGAAAGCGCTGGTGGGGGCGAGAGGGCGCATGATCCCCCGCGTGTAACTTTTACGTTGGGTGACTACCGGACTCGCCATGGCCAGGTACGTATCACTGCTGCCTGTTACCGTCTTTGACATGACTGATGAAAGGACTTAGTACCGCACCGACCTAGACCTCCAGCTCTTGGCAGCGAGCCACCCCTGGATTCCTACCTGGGATGATCACGAGGTGGCAAACAACGGCTACAGAGATGGTTTCAGTGCGCTGAACAACACCGAGGCTTCGTTCCGTCAAGGTGGTCGGATGGTCAGTGTCGATCAGAGAAAGATGAATGCTGTCAGGGCCTACTTTGAGTGGATGCCCATCAGGTAGAAACACACCTTCAATGTTCGTTGAGCGTGCGCTAATTAGGATAATAGACAAGTAGACCTGGACGACAACCTCCGCATCTGGCGGTCTTTTGAACTGGGTAGCCTGGCAGATCTTATCATTCTCGACACGAGAAACTACGACCGCAGTATCACTTCCCTGGGCTGGAACGATGCTTACATTGAGCTCATCCGCGATGAGGCCTCCCGCTCTCTCATGGGTGGCAGACAAGAGAACTGGTTCTATCGTACGTTGAAAGAGTCCAAGAACAGAGGTGCCAAGTGGAGGATCATAGGCAGCCAAGTTATCTTCTCGGGTGCAGATGGAGCCGGGACTGACACTTGGGGGGTGAGTATCTCCTTCTGGAAAACAATCACACTGTTGTGTTACTGACAGTGGCGGTGACAGGGATATACCGCCAACCGCAACCGTACTCTGCAGGCTCTGATCGACAATAGCATTGACAACAATGTCTTCCTCGCCGGTGACAGCCACCGCAACTGGGTTAGTCCATTCCATCCTACCGCGCCCTATGATCCAGTATTGATATTCGATCAGGTCGCCGATGTTACATGGCTGGGCCAGTCTGACTACAACCCTACCACTGGGTCTGGATCACTGGGTGTAGAGTTTGCCGGTACAGCGGTCAGCTCAAGCGGCCGGGCTGGTCCAATCAGTGCTGCCAACACCTACGCTCGAAATAGAGTTAGAGACACAGACGTTCTCCAATGGCACGAGGGGTACTACAGGGGATATTTCGTCCTGTCTGTTCAAAAGGACAAGGTGACGGCTGGGTTCTTTGGTACGTGCAACGTCAATACTCTTGGCAAATCCAACGGCTGACATGAGCAGGATCTCCCACTGTCGCAACGAGAAATCCTTGGGAACTACCCCTGGCGAATTTGACTGTTCTCGCGGGAGAGAACAAACTCTCTCGCCCCGTTGCTGGCGGAAAGGTAGAGGCTGGGTTTGCAAAGGGGGGAACCACCACTGGGACCAACCTGACTTTGAACACCGAGACGAAGAAGTGGGAAGTGATCGGCTTCGATGACATGTTTATTTCTCGTTGATGATGACAAGTCAGATTCGGGAAGATACCTGATTTTGCCAACTGAATATCTTGTCATCTTCATGCCAACTATGGAAAGACTATGAGGGAGTTTGTTCAAATGGGGAAAAGCAAATACATAGTTCCATGACTTCTTGCCACTGTCCAAACGTCAAGTGAATGCGAAGGTATGACAAGATATGTCATAAGGCACTTACAGATAAGTCGGTGATGCTCATCTTACTAAGAGCTAGTCGAACACTCGGCTTTAGAGCCGTCGAAATAAGGTAAACACTCTTGATTGAGAAGCCTTCGTAACAAAAGGCCCTCGCATGAGAGAAACTCGGACTTAGAACGCCCCCTCGCATTAGACGCCTGGCCTGGCATTTTGTGATTTCGGTCGCCGCGGGGTGCGAATCGAACATAGATACCAGGTAACATTGAAGCAGGGGCCGAACACAATCTCCTTGGGGAATACGGTAAGGATCTAGATCCATGCGACCAGACATATCGGTTAAAACTTCATGAGCCCAAATGAGATGTCCGAAGAGCCCTCAGCACAGCAAAGCCACAACTCTCAAGGTTGCCGGCTCAATCAATAGCCGATAGCACGCACCCAGGTATGTGAGAAAGGCGATTATTCGGCAGGCAAGGGAGAGAGGTTGGGTTGGGTTCGTCGAAGGAGGTTGCCTAAGGCACAGTCTTGACGTATTATAAAAGGGGACTGCCAACCCCATCAGATCTCGTCAATTCAGTTCATCACCGCAGCCTTGACTTCTGTCTTCACAACCGCATCGCCCACAGTCTTCAAAAGCCCAGGACAAGATGTTCAACCTCAAGAGTATCATCACTCTGCTCGCCCTCGGAGTCTTCTCCGCCAGCGCAGCTCCCGCTCCTGGTGCCTCGCCGATGGCCGAGGCTGAGCAGCCCGCTCTTGTCGACCGCCAGATCAGCGTCAGGGTGTTCGCCTGCGAGCACATCCGCAGCCAAGGTGCCTGCACCACGTTTAACGCTCCTCTCGGTCAATGCTGTGAGTTTGACACCAACTTCTGACTGTGCTGGGCAATGCTGACGTGTTGATTCTCTCACTTAGATAACGTCCCCGCAGCCTGGAACGACAGGATCAGCACCATCATCAACCAGGACAGACAGTTCCGCTGCGTGTGGTTCGAGTAAGTAACTCCCGTCTTGCGATCCCTGCCTACAGCTCTAACAAAAGACATTCAGACATGGCAGCTGCAGTGGCCGTTCATACGCCAACCAGGTGGACGACCATCTCGGTGACGGCGACGGGTACTTCAATGATCGCATTAGCTCCATCAGGTGCGGCTAAATTCAACGTGGCGTGGTTACGGTCTATCCGAGACCAGGACTGGCCAGGATCTTAACATCGCTGCTCTTACGGCGAAAGAATAGATCTACCAGCAGGAAACGAGGATGACCAAACTACTGGGCGTGAAGATGTGAAGACAAAGGGGTGGCATGGTGGACAACAACAGTCGTTCTCTTCTCTTTCTTTAACCGACTCAAGGGGGGTCATGGGAAGGGCATGAAGCCGGCCATGTCCACTATTCCCGTTTCCTTGCCTGACAGCCGGTCGACCTTTTCCTTGACTTTCTATGGTCATGTTGGAAAGCTTTTGTACCTACCAGAAACACTTTTCAGGTTCAAATAACATGATGAACTGAACCTTCTTCGCTCCTGCAAATTTTCTTGAGTATCCAGTGTCTACTACCACCCTCAGGAAGCTGACTGTCTCGTTACCTCCTATTCCAGCAACGCGAAGTAAGGTAAGCAGGATGCAGCAATGACCTGCCCAGATATGGGAATCCGCCGACAGTTTCTTGGCCAACTCCCTGTAGTGCTTCCCACCCTTCCTTAGACCTCACGCGCATCGACTTAGCGTGGCTCGGAAACGACGCAGTCGGCAGGTATAACCGGTAGGTTGAAAACACACGCTCACTATATTCTTTGGACATGGCCGCTACATGCAAACCTTCAATTCTTGTCAACATACATCGAAAAGACGTCACCATAAGGTACATCACATGTCCCTTTTAGTCCAAGAACTTTCACCCCTTACTCGTGCGAATGACCCGGCAAAGCCTTCATCCCTGTTATTTGCTTCAACATTAGCAATCATCCCTCGTGTTGGTAGTATGGTACGATTTCGCCCCGTAATATCTCGGCTTTTGACCAAGTCAGCACAACGAGTTCTAGTTGGCAGTGTCAAATTCCGGGAAGGCTCTTACCTCCACTTAACTCCGTCTAAGTAGTGTACATTCTTCCAGTGTCATGGGAGAAAGTCGAGGCACACTCGCATGTACGCCTGGCATCAGAATATGTCCGTTATATGAGAAAGGTAGTAAGAATGTAGAAAATGACGTTGGGAATGCCTGAGCAAGGACATTCCAGAACAGGGACTGTCAACGAAACCCCCAATTGAGATTGATATTTGAAAGCTTTGACAGACAAGGCTGGTCCTCAAAATGAGTATGGATCGGAGCTTATATTTTAGTGGCCAAGCTCCTAGAGTACTATAGCAGATGAGCTCTCAATATCACTAAGCTCCTCGGAGCTACACTTCCGCTTCCGTAGCCGCCCCAAACGCTCCCCCTCATATTGCTTAGTATAGCCGAACTCGTTATTATAGTAACTATAGTTCTCCAAGGTATCTCTTCCAAAGTAACTACTATTACGTGGACTAAGTGTGACGAACCCCTGTACAGAACCTCTGAAAGGGATACGGGTTGAAGGTAGCTTCTGACAATTGGTTCGGTGCAGCTAAATAGTGCACAATAAGATATCTCAATATAAACACAAGATACCGTAAATACAACTGTGAATTGCATACTGCGGAACTATCTATAAGCTATTTAGTTCCTCCGTATATATAGACCTAATACTAAGCCTGGATCATTTTGTTTCTCCCCGGATTATAACCGACTCTTAAGGATCATAAGTAATTCCTGGGACTCGCTTATAATTCCTTTATATCCCGGATAATCTACTGGTTTGGGGTGCGGCCACAGGCCTGAGAGTATGAGTAAGGAAGCGGGGCTCTCAGAGGACTCAGGGGTTCAGGGGTCATGTATATAAGCGGTCTGCTTCGGACATTCTATTTTAGACAGGACATCGACTTTTATTTTTCTTTGTATTTTGTGCCTTGCACGCGTGCAGGCAATTCTGGCCCTCTGATCAGGCCAATCCGGTGCTTATTATGTGGCCTGCGAGCCCATAGTGTCTTTTCTTTGTCCTACGTGAAGTGCGGCCTGCGAGCGAGTCACTGTCACGCAGGTGTGTTCATTCTGAGACCTGTTGAGGGTATATTTGTGGTGTTGTGGTTGTTTTGTGTGTTTTCTCACCATTTCACTACCTTTTATTAATCTATTTTCCTTTCTCTTAATTAACTACCGTACTGTCACAGTTAACCCAACGGCAGGTCGCGCCACATGTGGGGCGCAGGTCGCCCCTAGCCAATCATTTAGGAAGTCAGGGAACAAGCCGATCAGGGCTAGGCAAAAGTGCTATAGCGCTAAGGCTTACGAGCAGTCTGCAGGATGTAAGATGCTAGGGATGATTAGAGGCATAGCACGACGAGCATAATGCAGATGCATGCTATGGGTG